TTTCTTCTCATCTGTCGCATTGTCTTCTCTTACTTCAACTGGGGTGAAGGAGATACTGCATTGCTTCTGAATCAGATTCAGCAACCACTTCTCATCATATCTGATGCCAAATGGAATCTAAGAGCCAGAAATGGGAGAAGAGATTGACACGATGGAATCCAAGGTTAAGATAAAACTCAAGCATGTCTTCCTTTCACACCTTTTGCGGTGGTGGGGGGGAGTGGTGTCATTGAAGTAATTTCTTATGGTATGACAATATCCATTATTGTGAACTTTTGTACCAGACGTGGATTTCCTAAATAACCTTTCTTTCCATCCAAACACTTTCTTCAAATAATCAACTTAAGATGTTTAACATGTACTTCCTTTTGTAAAATTCCAAGTGACCCTAGCTCAAGGCAGGATGTCTTCGCCTGTCTCTCTAACAGAAACCTCAGAGACTCAACCCCCTCCCACATTCAGCTTGAGCTAAACTGAGACTTCCAGGGTGGAGTTGCTCCTTCTCTTTGGCTGTAGTTTTCTGTGCTCTTAGGCAACCTACCCATTTCTCCCTTTAGTCAGTCTGTTCCCTTTACATTGCTTCTCTGTGTCTGCCCTTACTTGATCTAGGATGCTAATCCCTAGTAATAAAAAGACCGATTACCCACTCCTCTCCGCAGAGAAGTACCTAGCATTTCTATATGAGTCCAACACAATTCCCTCTGTTCACCTCCTCCTGCACTTTGGGTCCATTTTGCCAGGGCACTCACTATGATCTTGAACCAGCTCCTGGAGGTCTCATCCTGCCCCTTCCCCTCCATTCTTCTCTCTGGAGGCTTTTGCTCTCCCTTCATGTTAGCTTGGGCTTGGTCTTGTATCTGAAAATTGCCCCTCTGATGCCAGGATGGAATGGCATAGGGAGTGCTGTGGGGAAGCAGAGAGAAGGAAGTGATCCACAGACGCTCAGAAAGTCTTCTGTTACGCATTTACCTTACTGTACAATAAAGTTTGCCCAACCCTTAACCTGATTCTATCATTCCTCACTCCTCCGGGTTGGAGAAGAGAATGGCATATTCAACTACAGGGCTATGTATTCCACTGGCTTGTACATTTCAGCTATGCTGACCGGTCACTTACTATCTTCCTCGGGTGCTCATGTGAGTGTTATTTGTTGCTGGATCTCCATCTTGCTGTTGGTGGGATGAAGGATCAGTGCCAGAACGGACATGCCCAGACCAATTGTTATGCCTCCTTCGGTAAATACCCCAGCATCT